ACAAGGAAATCATTACTTTAATGGAATATAATTTAGTGACCAGCAATAGTTGTTATTTGACAGAAAAAAAAAAAAAAAACCAGCTCAGGAAGGACACTTTAAAAAAAACGAAGCACTCATTAGAGAACAAAAAAAGTTCCATCCTAGAAAGGAAATGTTTTATGTCTAGATAATGAACATCAACTACCGGAATTAACAACAAAAAATTAAACAGTACCCCAAATCATTTTAAAGCAGTTATTTTGATTTGGAATTTTATTATTTTTCTGAGCATATCTAAAAATCTGTCATTACAACATTAGATGCTTTTCACACACCTGGGATACCAGTAACACATTCTAAAAGACTGTACTATGTGCTTAGGAAAACACTGGAAGAGAAAATTTTCTGTCTTCCTTATAGGATCATTCTTCATCAGACCAGCTGAAGGTACAGTAATTAACTCAGAGGAATTAGAGCTAAGCAAGCTGAACTTTATAAACCACTGATGTATCCACCCAAGAGAGAGCTCTGCAGTACAGCATCTATTTTAGCAGGCAGCAGGAGCAGCTATGTGAATCAGAGATACAAAATGGACATGTCCTAGAGTAGAGTCAAACTTAAGGACAATGACCTGAGCTTAAATAGTGGATCTTGCTCTTAACTGTGTAATTCAGAGGAAAGTAATCTAGGTCAGTTTTCCCACCTGCAAAATGAGAGCAATAGTATTTTAGTGTGATTGTAAAGAGTAAGTAGATAGCATGTAACGTGTAAGGCACCTAGCATGAGTCCAGTGTCCTCCCCGTCTTGGTTTTAAATCCTGATAAATAATGCTCAAATGCTATAGAATTTCTCTGTTCAAAAAGAAAAAAAAACATATAGTAATAGATATTCTTGTTCCCTATAAGCATCTGTTGGGAGCAAGAAGAGTGGTAAGGCAGGAGAGAAGGGCCATAAAATCCCTTAGAGTCTAGGGAAAACTGCAACTGCATCTATTAGCCTATCATGTAATTCAACTCAATTAAATGTTAGGGGATGCAACCTAAAAATTAGACATTTCTCAAGAGATTGAGACCACCCTGGCCAACATGGTGAAACCCCGTCCCTACTAAAAATACAAAAATTAGCTGGGTTTGGTGTTGTGCACCTGTAGTCCCAGCCACCCGAGAGGCTGAGGCAGGAGAATTGCTTGAATCCAGGAGGTGAAAGAGCCTAGATTGTACCACTGCACTCCAGCCTGGCAACAAAGTGAGATTCTGTCTCAACCAAAAAACAAACAAACAAAAAACCAGGTTCATACAGTGTTACAGGCAATGCTGAAATCCAAGAAGCTTTTAAAACCATAATAAACAATTGTTTTTACATAAATCGAGTGGCAAAATCAGTCCTGAACTTGAACTGCCTTAGAAGCTCTATGGTCTTTATTACTGCACTGAGCATAAACATTTATGCATCTTAAGTTTCACTTTGTGGTGGTATCCAAAATCCCACTGGGGATGTGATATAACATATGATGTACTGCAGTAGCTTCTAGAAGTACAAATTATTCCAAATTCTAAGACATATATAGCCCAAAGGTTTCAGATAAGGGAATTTGTACAATCTCTATTTAAAGGAGGGGGAAAAATAGAAATATAAAGAGAGCTAACTTGCCTGAGGCAGAGACTTGCGGTTAACAATTATCTTTCTCAAGTCAGAATTTGCTTTCTAACCCTCAAATATTCTATTATACGAAAACAATAACACTACTTGTAATATAACATGAAGTTCTTGAAAAAAAAAAGAGAGAAAGAGATAATATACATAAAACGCTTCAAACAATGTCCAGCACAAAGTAAGTGCCCAATAAATGCTGTGTAATAGTAACCGTTCCTAAAAAATACTTTGAACATAGTTCATTGTGTCATAAAAATGGTTAATTTTATGTGTCAATTACATCTGGCTAAGGGATGCCCAAATAGCTGGTAAAACATTTTTCTTAAGTGTGTCTATGAGGGTGTTTCCAGAATAGGTTAGAATTTGAATTGGACAACTCAGAAGATCACCTTCACTCAAGTGTGTGGGCATCATCCAATCCTCTGAGATCCTGAATAGAACAAAAAGGCAAAGGAAATGCAGATTTTCTTCTAGGGCAGAGACACATTCTTGGGTCTTCTTGGGACTCAGACAGGGATTCATACCATTGAATCCCCTACTTCTCAGGCCTTTCCACTGGAAGTCTACCACTGGCTTTCCTGGGCCTCCAGCTTGCAGCTGGCAGATCGTGGAGCTTAGCCTCCATCATCACCTGAGCCCATCCCTCATAATTAATCTATGTATATATGTATATATCTTAGCTATAGCTCTGTATATCCTACTGATTCTGTTTCTCGAAATATCTTTGATTAATCACTAGGAAAATCACTAGAAAAATTAATAACTGATTAATCACTAGGAAAATCACTAGGTAAATATACAGCTCTCACAGTATGCTATGTGCTTTATTATATTTTATTTTTTGTTTTTAATCCAAGAGTTCTCTCTTTTCTATGACCACAGAGGCATTTCTACCATCAGAGATAGTCTTGAGTACAAGTCATAAATGGAATGGCTTATCTCAGGTGAGCAAACAAGCATTATAGCTGGGAGAGGATCGTAAGACTTAAAGCTTTAATGCAAAAAAGATATTTTTTAGAAATAAGTAACCTATAAGACTGAGGAGCAGCCTAGAGGAAGGCATCTGGAATTTAATGTACAAACTAATCAACCAGAGCTCCTGTTAAAATGCAAACTCTGATTGAATGAGGTGGGGCCTGAGATTCTAGTTCTCAGGTAATCACAATGCTACTGGTCTAGGACATTCACTGAGATTAGGAAGGTCCCACAGTAGTGATCCTCTAAGTGTACCAGAAGCATGAGAATGTGCTGGGAAGTTATTAGATATACAAACCCTAAAGTATAAAGAAACTAACAAATTTGTTGACCTTAATCAGATATTTACACTAGGCAGTTCGGATTATCTTCCCTAAGAATAAAAGAAGAACTTGTTCTAAATCCCTTAAAAATAAAAGTAGCAGATCAGAACCTATTACATAAATAAAAGACATTTCTGCGAACAATTTCCAAAGTCATAGCCCCTACAATTACACTTGAAGTATAGGTTTTACGTTTTAAGAAGGCTCAGATAATATATAGGCCAAGTATTGCAATTAGACTTCTCAGTCAAACTCCTTACTAATTGCTGATAAAAAATCATTTCCATTTTTCCTAGGTTGTACATACAAAGAAGCTCTGTAAAGAAACCAAACTGAATTTTATATTTCCTTGTGTTGAGGACATGACCAACCACATGATGGTTTAGCTGACTTTTCCAGAGAAATGTTTACACATTGCTTGGTTCATATGTAAATATATGTCAACATTTTGATTTATAGCTATAAATGATCTGTTTACATACACATACACAGATGCATAAGTTATAGTACATTAATTGTTTGAAACAAAATATCCTTGAAGGACAAAGAACTTGAGGGTAAACCACAAATATATTTTCATAATCAGAGAAAAGATTTGCATTTTCTCAATGTGAAGTCCATTGATTGTTAAATACGGTTTCCCAAATTTTTTAAATAAACTGATGAACTCAGAATGCAGATTAAGTACTTTCTCCTATTTCAATAAAAGTTTGAATTTAGAAGTTCATCTCTCAATGAAAACCTGAGCACATAGTTCTAGCCATAATCTATTTTCAAATAAATCAGTTTCTAACATATTGTAAAGCATTACACATGTTTAAGGTTTGGAGCGAACACCTTTGATTTTGCTACGAGTACATATTTAAAAATAGTGGTTCTCTATTAGGGGAACTGTCTTTTTCCTAGGGAACGTTTGGCTATACCAGAAAACATCTTTGATTGTCAAAACCAGAGGGAGGGGAGTGAGGGATGGATACTTCTGAAAGCTTGTGTACAGAGGCCGGGCATGCTGCTAAACAACTTGTAATCCACACAACAGTCCACACAGCTTAGACTTTTCCAGACTAAAATGCCAATAGAGTGCCAAGACTGAGAAAGCTGATTTAATTAATAGGTTACAAAAATATACAAAGACTGTCCCTAGCACATCGTAATTACATTCCTTGCATAGTGTTAAGCAAAATAACAAATACTTACTGCTTATTAAATAAACTACCTCTATTTAGCTGAGACCTTTGAATCAGAGAAGAAAAAGAACTAAAAAAGGGTTATCGCATGTGTGATATCTACAATTACAAAATTGTAGTCATTGTCCAAACCAAAAAGAAACTTAAAAAATCACCATGTCCAGCCTGATATATCTAGTTAGGAAAAACAGTGTTTCTCATATAGAAGATGCTATGTTATGTACCAACACAACACTGTTAAGGGGGAGAGGGCAGTCCCCTTAATAGTAAAAATGGGCTGGGAGCAGTGGCTGATGCCTGTAGTCCCAGCACTTTGGGAGGTTGAGGCAGGCAGACCATGTGGTCAGGAGTTTGGGCCTGGCCAACATGGTAAAACCCCACCTCTACTAAAGATACAAAAAATTAGCTGGGCATGGTGGCATGCACCTATGATCTTACCTACTCGGGGGGCTGATGCAGGAGAATTGCTTGAATCTGGGAGGTGGAGGTTGCAGTGAGCCAAGATCACGCCACTGCACTCCAGCCTGGGTGACAGAGCAAGGGTCCATCAAAAAAAGTAAAAATGAAGTGAGACCTTTACCAAATTATATAAATCAGTTTTTTCTGTTTTCTTTCTAATAGTATCAATGTTCTATATTTTCCTCAGGTTAATAAAGTATTTCCTTTATAAAAATTAAAATCAATGTGACATCATAATAAGTGCTATTTCACAAGCAGGAAACAACATAAAATATAATTATTTTTTTAAAACACATGAAAGAACTTGGGGGCCTACAAGCTTTTCTGCTTTCAAGATTGCTGGGATTTAAACAGTCAAGAAATTCTGAATTGGCTTACATTTTTGAAACACAGGAACTGACAGTCATAAGGCCAAACATACCTTTAATAATCGATTCAACCGCATACAGATCTCGTTTGTAGGTCACCTAAAGGACAGATAAACTTCATTAGACTTAACAGAGCAGGAAGGAATGTGCAAGCCATAAAATAATGCCCTCAAGGACATTCTTGATTTTTCACAAACTATAAACATTTAATACTGACATTTTCTAAATTAGAAAAACATCAGCAAATTCACATAAAAATATATTCTATTTCTACAAATGGTTGATTTGTGTTTTTAAATCTCTGAATAAACTGAGATATTATATGGCAGTGGTTACTGAAATCTTAATGTAACTCAAGTATCATATGCAAAGAAAATGTGGTAGTGCTTAAACAACAGTGTTAACATGACTGCATAATAATGAGGTTTTATACTAGAAAAAAAAAAGGTAGGGTGGAAGTCTCTGTATAACAAAAAAGCTACTGAGTTGCTGGCTTAGCTGAAATAATTCTGAAAGATCAATATATGTTAAGAGGGACTTACTTCTGAATTGAATGTATCCATACATACCTAGGTAAGATTTACCTTCTAAGATTTTTATTAAAATGTGGCTAAAATAGAGCATATAGCATATCCCTATGTGCCTAACAACAGCGATAATCTTTCCTTAAAAACATGCAGCCTCTTAATAACTATAATCTGTTCCTTGTAATGTAACCTGCCACCATAGTATGTGTCTGTTCTATGGCAGATACTTCAAAGACTCCCACCCACTGAGCTCAGGTACAGAACATGTAAGTGCACTGTGGTGCATAATTAATTCTGTATCACAGAACTGAAATACATAGTAAATGACGACTCAGTATTAATAAGCTTTTATAAGTTCTTAGAAGCTACTTTTTTTTTGGATAGCAATTTTTTTTTTTATTGCATTTTAGGTTTCAGGGTACATGTGAAAAAACATGCAAGATTGTTGCATAGGTACACACATGGCAGTGTGATTTGCTACCTCCTCCCCATCACCTATATCTGACATTTCTCCCCATGCTATCTCTCCCCAACTCCCCAACCCCTACTGTCCCTCCCCTATTCCCCGCCCCCGACAGACCCCAGTGTGTGATTCTCCCCTCCCTGTGTCCATGTGTTCTCATTATTCAACACCTGCCTATGAGTGAGAACATGCGGTTTGATTTTCCATTCTTGTGTCAGTTTGCTGAGAATTATGGTTTGCAGGTTCATCCATGTCCCTGCAAAGGACACGAACTCATCGTTTTTGATGGCTGCATAGTATTCCATGGTGTATATGTGCCACATTTTCCCTGTCCAGTCTATCATCAATGGGCATTTGGGTTGGTTCCAAGTCTTTGTTATTGTAAACAATGCTGCAATGAACATTTGTGTGCATGTGTCCTTCTGGTGCTACTTTTAAGTACCAAGGTATTTATGATGCAAGTGTTCTAAAAACTCATTTTGAGAAATTCCCACATTATTACCTGACTGTTCTTATGAAATTGGACTTTTTATCCTCCAGATTAGCTAACTACAAGATTTGTACAGGAACTTTGTTTAGTGAAGTGGGCTACTGCACTTCTATCCAAAATAGATTGCTCTGCTATGCCTTTATCCTGGCAGGTAAATCCTGGACCTCAACTGTATCTCACTATCCAGAAATAAAGTAGCAACTAACTTGATAACACAGATAAAAAGTTGTTCAAGCAATTCAACCAATCTATTAAAATGTGACATACTATCGTGTCTCTAAAACAAGTACATGTCAACCAAAACTAGTGACTCCTAGTTAGTGATCTATAATGTAATTCTCCTACCTGGCGGAAGAAATATGATAGAAAACAGACAGTTCAAGGTCCATGCTTTGCATTTTACCAAATCAAATTACGTACTGTCTAATTTATTCAACAAATAATTCATCAAAACATTACTGTGTTCTGGGCTCTGTTTTAAGTGCTGGGAATGGAGGGGGAGAGGGAGAGAGGGAGAGAGAGAGAGAGAGAGAGAGAGAGAGAGAGAGAGAGATAGAGAGAGAAACTTCAACAAAAATCCTTAACGTGGAGATTCATTTTAGTTAAGAAATTTTTTTGTAAAGTTGAATGGAGTTAGTGTTTCTTTCTTTTAATGAATATGTAAAGTTAACTATGTATCTGAAATTAGGCCTCAATATTTGCAATGTGAGAATTTTTCTTCTACAGTAATAGTTTGTTACATAGGATAAATTCACAACAGAAATTATATGCCTAGTTGGTTTTCTATTCCCTCCTGCTTTGAAGGGTAAAACTGCATTCTACATTAAAATAGAATAGGAATGTACCTTACATTTTCAAACAGTTTTTAATGATAGATTTCTGGATTTATAGAAAAGTTCTCAGATTCTAACATGACTTTTCTAGATTACATTCAAGATTTAATTTTTGCAGTGGAGTCAGCCTTCAGTATAAAATACATTTTTTACTATGCAGAGATTTTTTTCTATTTTAATGTTAATTAACTGGCATAAACAAGAAAGACTTCTGAATTTTTTTCTGTCAGCCTTTTCCTATAGGCTACGGATATCTACCATACACTAAGGTTTTTTTAACTTTTATTAACATATTTTACAAGGAGCTTTGTTGAATACCTCAATTGTATCTCAACAAATACTGATTGAACATAAGTAAATGACAGAAAATGTATCTTATAAACATTTAAAGTCCCATTAGCCTTATTTTTTTCCTACATAGCTAACATGCTTCAAAAGCAGTGTGACTGGAAAATGTTGTAATTCTCAATTGACGGGGTATCCATTTTTTCCATCTAAATTTTACAGCAATATGGGTTGTCCTTATTTTAATTTAAAAAACCCAACACCCTGACAATGAGTATTCATTTTGTTCTATTAGCATAAGTAGTCTTCCTTTGACCTTCCACAATACCCTATTATGAAAAATTACTTTTAAAAAAATCAATCCTGTAGTGATGAGAAAGAAAGTCAATCCTCTAATTTGCTGCTTTTCAGACTGTGCTCACCAGAGCCTCAGGGACCACCTGAAGAAGAGGAAAGGTGTTCTGTGCAGCTGAAATTCCAACCCAACACCTGGCACTCACCTAGTTCAGCTCAATTTTTCTCTATTTTGTTTGACTGAGCTTCTGTGTGCCCTTTCAGCTGAGTAACATGTTTAGCTTTAAAAAGAAGTTCCATAGAAAAAGAATCCTGAACTCAGACCTATACATATAATTGTTTTCTCATTCCTAGACCAGGGTTCTTAGCTACTTCAAGGTACACTCTGGCTGAAGCTATCACATCCACATGTTGTTTTTCTGTGTTGAAACATAAAATAGCAAAACAAAACAAAACAAAACAAAAAAAACCCCACAACTATAAGAACGCAGCCTGTTGGTCACTATCTTCAATAACTTCAGACAGACAAGACATAATGTTCTCCCATCTTTCCCTTCACAATAAAGTGGTAACTTGAATGTTTAGCAAAACTTGCATTTTAAAGACAGCAGGAAGTTTATTAAGTATAGATTTTTCAGAACTTATTTCCTTATTGTATACATACAGAAAATATTCTTTTCTGGATACCTATGTAAAAATACTGGATAATGATATAAAAATATCTAAAGACAAACAATGTTACCACATTGTGTTTTTGAAGTTACAAAAACCAAGTAGAGACTATTTTGTTTCTTTTGTTCTTAAACAGATGCTAAAATACTTGGACCTAAAAAAATATATTCCCCCAACAAAAAGAATCCTCAAAAGTCATTCATTCCAGTAACACCGTGATTATACAAAAACTTCAGAAACTCCTAAAAAAGCACTTTCAGACAATGGAACACAGTGGTTAAATATCTTCCATAACTTGTCGTTAATCTTTCATGGCTTGAAGACAGTTTTGACATTGAGAAACAAGAAGTCCATTCAATTAGGTCTGTACAGTGTAGTAAGAGACCAAGCTAATTAAAAATACATGGGGCCAAAAATAACTAAGTTAAAGGGACTCAAGTTGTTGTGCAGACTAGATGAAATCTCACAAAAATGGTAGTGTTTACTTGGGCCTGTCAAAGCAAGGCTACTCCAGGGAAGCAAGACAGCTGATTCCTATTCCTAGAGCCAGGCCTGTGTTCTTCAGTGCTCACCATCCTTGAAGGGGAGAGTGGGATACTGCAGTCATTTTCTACACTGCATGGTGATTTCAAAGGAGAAAAAAAAAAAAAACAAAAAAACAAAAAAAAACTAATATCTCCAGACCCCAGAAGAGATAGCACAGGAAGGTGACATCAACCCAGAATGTTTATTTTTTACTTTTACCAAAATGTATTTATAAAATACGAAATAAAGACCAGCCTGGTCAACAATGGCAAGAGTCCGTCTCTACTAAAAAAACAAAAATTAGCCAGGCATAGTGGCGTGTGCCTGTAGTCCTAGCTATTTGGGAGGCTGAGGCAGGAGAATCACTTGAACCCAGAAGGCAGAGGTTGCAGTGAGCCAAGATGATGCCACTGCCCTGCAGCCTTGGCGACAGAGCAATAATCCATCCCAAACAAACAAACAAAAAGAATTAATTAAATCAAATAAAATACAAAATAATCCTTCTGGAATTTCTGGGGGCAACTGAAATTCTACTGCTACTGAAATTCTAGTAAGACATGCAATCCTCAGAAATTTCAAGTCAGTCTTTCACCCAGTGTGAAGTGAAATCCATAACTTTTGAGAAGAAAGGGAAGGTGTATTGCTCCATGTTTCAGAATCCTCCTTTGCTTTACACTGTACAATGGTTATAAAATGCCTCAATTATGTCCAAGTGTGTCTTCTACTGTCATATTTTTGAGTCATGTTCCAAGAACATGGCCATGCCATCTGAATCCAGTACCAGTTCAGCATAATTGTACTAGAATTTTTCAGATCCAATTTTTTTTTTTTTAAAAAAAGCAGCTTCTTTGGAATTAGTGCAGACTTAGTACACTAATTTCAAAGTGTAAACTCCATTGCTGTGTAAAACAAATACCGCTACCATACAAAATAGATCACAAAATTAAAGTAAAAGCCTAAAGACAAATCATACAATGTAATCAAAAGGGGTTAAATAATTAGTTATGAAAATATTTAGCTATTTCATAGCTAAATGGTTAACTATGAAAATAATTAGCTATGAAAAAGACAAGTCAAAGATGAGACAAGAGGCAGAGAAAAAAGGGAAGCTGAAAACAACTGCAGTATTTGCATTCTGGTATCACGTAACAGGAAAAAAAATGTGATACTAACAAACAAAAAACCCTCATAATGTCAATCTGTAAGACATTTTCCCCAATCCAAAGCATGGTGGGCCTTTTAGAGTCCAAGCTGGAGAGAAAAGAGAAATATGAACACCTCACCCAAAAGAAAACACTGAAGATGGAATGAAACATTCAGAGAGTAATGTGCTGCTTCCCTTTCATCCACAGATCTCAAGAGTGGTTTACAAACTTGAGGAAGGCTCAGAACACAGCCCCAAAGATGTCAGAAGTGAGACCAGGGAGTACATATTAGTTTGACATATTAGTAGCAATAAAATGCCTTAGACTTTCCACGTCTTTTCTTGGTCTTCAAATTAGGTCTGTGAGACAGCCAAAGGGGTTCCAAAAGAATGTGGGTCAGAATCTTTAATGAAACATCTAATTGGAAATTGCCAAAAATGATAATATTCATATTACTATTGATACATATCTGTATCTATATCTATATATATATGATGAGTAAAAATGATAAATAAAATGTTTGCCATATATAGAAAAGGATGACTAAAATGTTTGCCTGCTAGGTTGATGACAGTTAACCCAGCAGGCAGGCATTTTAGGTTGTCCTTAAGTGAACAGTAATACTACATAAATTTTCTCTACCAGGCAATAATCCAAACATGTCAATATTTTGGAGTCTTAGAATTCAACATTTTAAGTATTTAAGATTATTCTGAGATAATCGTAGCAGGCAGTGAGGCAAATCATGTTACTGTGCAAAATAACTCATCAACTTATAGGGGTTTCTGTTTTAAAAATGAGTAAGAAAATATGCTTATAGACTCAGAATGAATCTTTACTAATCAGATTGATGGATGTTTCGTAAAGATTTCCAAAGACTACAATCATTATCTCAAAAGCAGCAAAATTTATTTCAAGATTATGAAATGGCCCTTACAATTTTTATTTCCAAATACACTATTCAATTCAACTAATGAAACAAGGAATCACACTCTAAACCATCCCTGGCCTTGCTAAGAAGATGCAGTATGATAGTGCCATTATCTTCTTGGCAATAAGTTATCTATTCCCTCCAAATGAAGTACATTAGGCTAGGTGCAGTAGCTCACACTGGAATCCTCAGGACTTGGAGAGGCAGGGGCGGGCGAATCGCCTGAGGTCAGGAGTATGAGACCAGACTGGCCAACATGGTGAAACTGAGTCTCCACTAAGCATACAAAAATTAGCCAGGTATGGTGGCTGGCACCTGTAATCCCAGCTACTTGGGAGGCTGACACAGTAGAATAGCTTGAAACCAGGAGGCAGAGGATGCAGTGAGCTGAGACCGCACCACTACATTCCAGCCTGGGCAAGTAGAGTGAAACTCCCTTTAAAAAAAAAAAAAAAAAAAGTTAGCCATTAGAAGACCTGGGCCCTGCCACAGGAAACAGTGTAATTCCTCACAGTGGGGCAGAGAGTGGATCCAGCCACTACCCACACTGGGTCAGAACTGTGGCAGATGCCTTTTCAACCCAATTAAGTTGGAGCAACCACCCAGGGCCTGGAAGGAAATGTTGATACTTGCAATTGGTGGGCCAAGTTATAGCTTTAATCCAACTGAGTGAAGGAAGGGGGAGAAAAGGCTACTGATATGGTTTGGATTTCTGTCCCCACCCAAATCTCATGTGGAATAGTAATCTCTAATAATGGAGGTGGGACCTGGTGGAAGCTGACTGGATCACGGGGACAGATTTCTGCCTTGGTGCTGTTCTCGTGATAGTGAGTGAGTTCTCAGATTTCTGGTCATTTAAAAGTGTGTGGGTACCCACCCCTAAGCCTCTGTCCACCTACTCTGGCCACTTGAAATGTCTCACTCCCCCTTTGCCTTCTGCCATGATTGGAAGCCTCCTGAGGCCTCCCAAGAAGCAGAAGCTGCTATGCTGCCTGTACAGCCTGCAGAACTATGAGCTCTTTTCTTTATAAATTACCCAATATCAGTTATTTCTTTATATCAGTATGAGAACAGACTAATACAGCTATCTACAGAGAGCAAGATAAAGAAAAAAGTGAATAAACCAACCTCACGGGTTAAAATGAGATGTGTCTGAGTAAATTATCTCAAAGTGAATTTTCTTGAAGCCAAGCAATAGAAACGATAATATACTTTGATGTTTCAGTAAATCCGTAAGACTCCCGCAACTCCCACTAAACGCACTACCGGTTTTAAATGTATACCCACACAAAAACATAAAAGCACAGCAAAGAACCCAAGCAAAGTGTCACTCCTCTTACCTTCCAGAGGTCAGGTGATCCTTCTACAAGTTTGGCTTTAGTGCAACAGTATTTTAGGGCCAACTGCAAACACTCAGTTCCAAATTCCAAGTCATAGTCACTACACTGGCGTAGAAAAAAAAAAATTCAGCTAAAACAATTTTAAGTAAAACTCAGCCTTTTATTTCATAATCAACTGCAATCAAAGGAAGAGCCTAGAAAGCTCAAGCTATTTAATCAGCTACTGAATGAGTTATAACATCCCCAACAGCTAAAAGCAAAACAAATTGTGAGTAGGAATACTGCAATCATCATTTGAGCTTCCAGATTCCTCTATAGTTTTAGGTATAAAATAGATAGAGTACTTTGTTTCCTTTGCATATAAGTTACATTTCCAAGCATGTTTATAAAGTATCTGAAGTTATAGCTGAGGATTATCATAATTGTTGATAAATATATATCTACAACATCTCAATCTCATATCTTATATTTATATCAGAACATTTGTAGGTCCTAGTTCTATTGTTTTAATATTTAAAATATCAAAATGTCCTTTTTAATTATTTACATTTTGCTTATATGTATGGAACATTTAGTATTTCATTGTGAAACAAAGTGTAAAGGTACCACAAAAATTCAGTAAAAATAAAATATTTTTTGGCATTTTAAGCAGAGCCATTAAAATATCCAAGTAATAACACAATTCAGCTGAACAATACTCAGGGTGCCTAGCCTGTCTCCAAGTTCTATTTTAAGCACCAGATATATAAAGATAAATCACACATGTATTGTGCCCTCAAGGAACTAAGGTCTAGAAGATAGATGCAGTACTAGAAGAATGTCTACAGGTAACTCAGCAGATAAAATCAGGAAGGCCTATCAGAGGAAATAGCTTGATCTCCATCTAACAGCAGAATAAAACTGGACAAGGGGATTACATTTAAATCAAAAGGTGCCATGCAAAGTTACAGAGGTTTGAGTCATTTGGCACACTTACATTGTTTTTCTTTTTTGAGACAGAATCTTGCTCTGTCACCCAGGCTGGAGTATAGTGGCACCATCTCAGCTCACTGCAATCTCCACCTCCAGAGTTCAAGTGATACTCCTGCCTTAGCCTTCCTAGTAGCTGGGATTACAGGGGCCCACCACCACACTCAGCTCAGTTTCTGTATTTTAGTTGAGATGGGGCTTCACCATGTTGTCCAGGCAGGTTTCGAAGTCCTGAGCTCAGGTGATCTGTCCCCCTCAGCCTCCCAAAGTCCTGGGACTACAGGTGTGAGCCACTACACCCAGCAGAGACTTATTTTAGATAGGATATCCATGTAAGGATTGCAAGAAGGCAACAAATATGAGTATGACATGAAGCACCCCTTGCCAGAGCTATTTTATTATACTGAAGGTTACAAAATTCTAACTAGTGATTTGTAAAATCAATGAACAAAATATGACCAGATATACAGAGAATCTTAATTTGACCAGAAGAGTCCCAGTTTGATTCTTCTATTTTTATATACTACATAAAATAACATATCTAGGTATTTTTAAAAGACTATTATGAACACTAGTTACATTCAAGTAAGTTGAGATGAGTTTGGTAAACCATTGTTTAGCAGTTTGTGATTGAGATGTATGTACGATAAACAAAGTTCTGTTTAACACATGGTTAAATCTTTAAAATGACTAGCAATAACCTTAACTCTTTCTGACACACTCCAGAGGGGCAAAATATCAAACATATCCCTGGATTGCCTTAAAAGTACTCACAATGTACCATACTGAAAGGAGTACACAGAAACAGGCACTTCCTTCCAATCTCAGATAGTGGTGTGAAACATACTTGATGCTCTGTTCCCAGCTACAGTGCCACCAATTGCGAAACGAGTTCATAAACACTTGCAGGCTCCTCTCTTGTGACCTCCTATTGGGTGCCCATAAACTAGTATTATTTGAAGGAGGTTACTTGAAGGAGATTATTTAAAGGAAATCAATAGTGGTGATAAAATGAAATCATTTAACATGGTAAATTAATCCAAAGGCCAAGAGAAAAGTGAGAAAAAGAACCAAGGAAAGGTGGTACAAACACAAAGCAACTAGCAAGATGATTTTAGTCAAGAAAGTTAACGAATGACAGAGGGTATTGCACAAAATGTTTTGACATTTGTGATTCACCATGAGAGGATTATAGTTATAATTATATCAATGATCACATGAGAAACATATATGCAAACATATAGACGCTGAAAACCAACTGCCTCCCCAAATTTGGCCACCCAAAATAGTGTCAAATAGCCTTCTGCCCAGGCAAAAGCCCTAAGGACACTTATCAGAGATTCCCCCAAAAAGCCAGGTCAAACCCAGTCATTTTATAGAGAAGCGCATCAACACACCCCACGTAGAAAACTCACCAAGTATAACCAGACCCTAGTTAAACATAAGCAGAAAACCCACATTTAACTGTCACTCAAGAAAAGATTGTAACATGAAAGATCAAAATGGCAAAATAATAATAATAATAAAGCACTTGAGGAGACTGAAACTGTAGTTTTTAAAAAACTATGGATCTGAGAAGATAAAGAATTTGAAATAAGTGACAAGGTAATATTTTAAAAAGTAGAAAATGAAAGAGCCATATAACTCATCAGCAAAGTCAAATATCCAAATAAAAAGATTGAAATTTCAGGAAAAACAGGAAAAGAGGAAAACTAAGTAATTCAAGATATTCCAAATATGGAAAACACTAAATTTCCACATTAAGAGAGTATGGAAGCTAATGGGTGAAAATATGCCAAGCCCATTTAAAAAAAAATTCTCTAACAAGCTGTAATCCAAGCTTAGACTTCATAGAAACAATAAAACTTAGAAGAAGCAAATTATTCACAATTCTTAGGTTAATGATTTTAAACAAAGAATTCTACTCCCAGGAGAGCTATCAAATTTGAGGGCAGAATATGAACTTTTCCTTACATCCAAAGTCTCAAAGAAATTTTATTACCCATGCATTGTTTTCTTTCCTACACATTTTTTAAGACCTTAAGTATTAGGTTAACAGCAAAATGGAGCAAAAGGAAAAGGTTGCTGCTATATACCTTCGAGCCCCCACATACACACGCCTCTCCTACTATCGAAACCTTGTGAACACAGTGGTATGTGTATGCACATCAATAAACCTACGCTGACACATCTTTATCATTCAAAGGCCAGAGTTTACATTATGATCCATGCATAGTATTATACATTCTGAGTTTTCAAAAGTGTACAGTGATACACATTCATCTCTGTAGTTATCATACAGAATAGTTTCACTACAGTGAAATTTCTGTGTACCACCTATACATATCTCCTGCCCCTCAACCCCTTGCAACCACTCATTCTTTCAATGCCTCCATAGTTTGTCTTTTCCAGAATCTCATAGCTGTAATACAATGACATTCATCTATCACTGTAGTTACCGTATAGTTTCACTACACAGAAATTTGTGTACCACCTATACATACCTCCTGCCCCAAAACTCTTTGCTACCCCTCATCCTTTTAATGCCTCCATAATTTGTCTTTTCCAAAAATACATAGCTGTAATCACAGAATATTTGGCCTTTTTACATTGGATTCTGGCACACCAAAACATACATTTAACTTCCTTCCAAACCTTTTGGTGACTTTATAGCTAATTTCCTTTAAGGAGCAAATAATATTTCATCATCTCGATGTACCACAGTTTATCCCCTACCTAAGCTATCTATGTTGGTTCCAGTTTTGGCAATTATGACTACAGCTGCAATAAACATTCGTGTTCACTTTTTTTGTTTTCCGTTTTTTTTGTTTGTTTGTTTGTTTGTTTTTTAAGACAGAGTCTCACTCTGTAGCCTAGGCTGCAGTACAGTGGCACGATCTCAGCTCACTGCAACCTCCACCTCCCGGGTCTCAGTTCAATCAATTCAGCAATTCTCCTGCTTCGGCCTCATGAGTAGCTGGGATTACACGCACGTGCTAATTTTTGTATTTTTATTAGAGATAGGGTTTGACCATGTTGACCAGGCTGGTCTTTAACTGTCGACCTCATGATCCAAAGTGATGGGATTACAGGTGTGAGCCACTGTGCCCAGCCCATATGCAGGTTTTTAATGTGGACATAACCCATTTGGGTCTTATGATAGGAGTATGTTGTGTAAGATGCTGCCAAACTGTCTTATAAAATGACTGTCACTTGGCATTTGCATTTTATGTTTTATATTTAGGTCTGATCTATTTTGAGTTAATGGTTTTGACAGGTTGAAAGTGTATGCCTTTCATTTTTGGTATGTGGTTGTCTAGTTGTTCCAACAACATTTGGTTGAAAAGACAGCAAATCTTGGCTACACTGTATTGCATTTGCTTTTCTGCCAGAGACCAATTGATTATATCTGTGTGTTTCTATTTCTGGGGTATTTCATTCAATTGATCCATTTATCTATTCTTTAAGCCAGTACCACACAGTCACAATTCCTGTAGCTTTACAGTAACTCTAACAGTCAAGTAGTATCAGTCCTCCAACTTTATTCTTTGTTTTCAATATTGTATTAGCTATTCTAGGTCACCTGCCTCTTTTTGTTTGTCAATACTAAAAAATAAGTTGCTCAGATTTTGATTGGGGTTGCATCATGTCGAGGAGAATTTACATCTTGACAACTTTGAATCTTCCTATCCACAAACACGGGACAGCTCTCCATTTATATAGTTCTTTGAAGTCTCTCAGAGTTTTGCAGTTTTCCTCATAAAGTTTTGTACATTTTGTTTGACTTATGCCCAAGTATCATTTTGGGGGCTGCTGACGTAAACAGTAATATATTTCTATTTTCAAATTACACGTTTATGATGGTACAAAGGAAAGCAATGGACTTTTGTTTATTGGCTTAGTATCCTGCAGCTTTTCCATTACTGTCCACTAATTCTATAATTTCTGTCAATGCTTTCGGATTTCCCACAGAGACAATCCTATCAGCTCTGAAAAATGTTTTCTTCCTTCCCAATTACAGTATTTAGTTCATTTCCTTCTCTTATTAGCTAGAAATTCCAAGACAATGTTGAAAAAGAACATTGAGAAGGCATATCCTTGCCTTGTTCTTGGATCTTACCAGGAAAGCACCTAAT